CCACTATACCTTATCGATCTATTTGGAAATTAAATAAAAAAGGAAGTTTAATAGAAAAGTAAATTGAATAAAAATGGAAGTTGAATAAAAATAAAAATGAAATTTGCAGAAAATTAAAAATGGAAGTTCAATCCAGAAACCACTTTACCTTAGCTATCTATTTGGAAATTAAATAAAAAAGGAAGTTTAATAGAAAAGTAAATTGAATAAAAATGGAAGTAGAATAAAAATAAAAATGAAAGTTGCATAAAATTAAAAATGGAAGTTCAATCCAGAAACCACTATACCTTAAAGATCTATTTTAAAATTAAATAAAAAAGGATGTTTAACAGAAACGTAAATTGAATAAAAATGAAAGTTGAATAAAAATAAAAATGAAAGTTGCAGAAAATTAAATTTGGAAGTTCAATCCGAAAACCACAATACCTTAACGATCTATTTGGAATTTAAATAAAAAAGGATGTTTAATAGAAAAGTAGATTGAATAAAAATGGAAGTTGAATAAAAAGAAAAATGAAAGTTGCAGAAAATTAAATATGGAAGTTCAATCCAAAAACCACTATACCTTAACGATCTATTTCGAAATTAAATAAAAAAAGGATGTTTAATAGAAAACTAAACAGAATTAAAATGGAAATTGAATAAAAATAAAAATGAAAGTTAAATCCAGAAACCACTATACCTTAAAGATCTATTTTAAAATTAAATAAAAAAGGAAGTTTAATAGAAACGTAAATTGAATAAAAATAGAAGTTGAATAAAAATAAAAATGAAAGTTGCAGAAGATTAAATATGGAAGTTCAATCCAGAAACCACGATACCTTAACGATCTATTTGGAAATTAAATAAAAAAGGAAGTTTAATAGAAAAAGATGGGGACACAAATTAAAAGGTGTTAAATGTCAAAAATTCAAATGTAAGCAAACTAATGGAATTAATTCATTAGTCAGGACCTTTCACCACACAAATATGTAATGAAAAGTATCACAATTCTACATATTTTGGGTTGGACTCTTTTTACTTAAAATTTTGTTTGTTTCGATTTAAAAATATTTTATTTATTTTTTGATGTAAATTAAATAAAAAAGTAAGTAAAAAGGAAGTTAAATAAAAATAAAAATGGAAGTTGCAGAAAATTAAAAATGGAGGTTCATTCCAGAAACCACTATACCTTAA